GTAAATAGTAGCTTCTGTTGAGTGGCTATGGTGGTGAGTTGCTTTTGCAGGGAGTGTAGGGCTTTGTCGCAGTAATTGGTCCCATGTTGACTATGCTCCGGACCGTTTACTTATTTAATACTTATTAGTGTCTGACTGGTATATACAAAATGTGACCGAGAATAAAAGCCAGTTGGCCGTTTCAAAAAAGCTACAGAACCAAAACGGTCTGTCAGTCATCGCTGTCCATACCAGCGATATTATTTTACACATAAAAATTGTGAATCATAATTGCATAGAAATGAACACTAAATACAGCTATCCCCGCCATCAGTCAAATCATCAGTACATGTGCAGAGTGACTGGTTTGCATTCAGATACAGTAAAACCTGTCAAAACCGACACCTGGATAAACCGACCTACTGTCAGAATCGACCAATTTATGTAGCCCCGAAATTTCTCCATAGACGCCTATGTTAAAATAACCTGTGAAATCCGACCACTGTCTACTCCGAACACCGACCACATTGATCGGTCCCAGGTCCAATATTCACACTAAATACATCGATCATCCGACCAGTTGCACCACGTTCGCTGTCTAGTAATCCGGTCTGCTCGACCTAAAGTGTGCATTGTGTTCAATTTACCGTGAACGTCACAGAAACTACCAAATCTCACACTACAAGTAACATCCCGAGTAAAACAATGGCAACTGATTAAGTTTTTCACACCACACGCCCACGCATCGCGTGGTGTCTGAACAGTATAATGACCCCAGATATAAACAAATGATCATCGCTTTCATCATCACTTTCATCACTTTCAGTTGCGGTGAAACGTGCTACATCACCTTTTCAATGAGCGAAAGACATTGAGTTTTCTTCTTTTCATAACGATTCTGATCGATAATATTGTGCTTTTGAATGTTTCCGTGAAGGGGGCTTCAAGATTGAAATTGATGATTACGAAGAAGCAGACAACAACAAAGAAATCGGAAACCTTATTTAGAAAGTTGCAGACCCTCAAACACAGTGTAGCGACGTATGACCTCGAGAGAGAGCAACATATTGTTGATAATTTGATTGGAGACAAAGAAAGGAATCTACAAACAACGATGACATAAATTGCAACGTCAGTCAAATTATCGACTCCCACAACGACAGTGATTTGACGCATGATGATGTGCTAGCCCGGGTGTGCTAGACATGTTGACGAGATTACAGAACTTCGCAATGAACAAAGAAACCAGTTACTTGACAGATATCCAAGATCTCAAAATTCGAACGGAAAACAAAAATGTTGAAAAAAGATATTCTTTAAAGCAGTCAAAACTTGATGATTTTTTTACATCGTAATTTAATTGATTGACTTAACAGCAAAATCAACTGTCTGCATAAATTATGATAATTACATGTAGCTCACGTTAACTTGCGTTGTGATGTCATTCAAAATGGACACCTCCAGTTACGATATGTGATACTTACCCGGTCTGTTCGAACAGTTATTTTATTATTTATTGATTTTATGTACATGCCATAATATTCTTGTCTTGTTTGGTAAATTATTTTATTGAAACAATACAATAAATGTAAATATAATCACTGGAGGCAAACTCCAGTGTCTTTCATTTTTCCCGTGTTTACAGCACATGTAATTTTTGTTTCAATCGAATTGAGTTACGCCCACCCTGAATAAACTCCCTCTGAAAACCAACCATAGATCCCAGTCCCAGTCATGGTCGGTTTTGACAGGTTTTACTGTATAAAATAACTGTTTTATTCGCTGTTGTTATTAAATATACATGTAAACAAGTTGAGGGCAATGTTTTCGCAATAAAACGCAAGCCTGTGTTGGTTGGCAAAAATGTAAACAATGACGTCACAGTGTAATGGCCTATAACAAACAAGGAAAAAAAAACTATCGGTATATATTCAAGGGACAGAGACTGGAGACCAAATCTTCAACTTTCACCCACTTTCAAGGCCGAATTAAAAAAATGCCTCAATATAGGAATAACATGAGGAATAGCTGTATTTTTTGATGGCATCCCAGCAACCTGGTTGATTATCAAGGCCAAGCAATATAGGGGCTATATCACTGTTATGATTTTCTTCTTCTGTCATTTATTTATATATGAAAACTGCTGAATGGAGTCTTCTTGTGCATGTTATGGCTAATGTGAACTGGTGTACCTAAATTTTAGTTGGTTACATGGTTTTGGAAGCCATAGTCCGGATGTATTCCATTTCATATACTTTTGGGTACTCAGCACTGCCAATATCACAAATAAAAACTAATCATATCAAGTGGTTACTTTAGGCAAGTGGTCTTTATATACAGGTCACTTTACATGTAAATAGCTTAGAGACTACCCAGTGGCATTTACTATGAACAGGTAGTCTTTATATACAGGTCACTTTACATGTAAATTGCTTTGGGACTACCCAGTGGCATTTACTATAGACAGGTGGTCTTTATATACAGGTCACTTTACATGTAAATTGCTTTGAGACTACCCAGTGGCATTTACTATGGACAGGTAGTCTTTATATACAGGTCACTTTACATGTAAATAGCTTTTGAGACTACCCAGTGGCATTTACTATAGACAGGTAGTCTTTATATACAGGTCACTTTACATGTAAATAACTTTGAGACTACCCAGTGGCATTTACTATAGACAGGTAGTCTTTATATACAGGTAGCTTTTCATGTAAATATCTTTTGAGACTACCCAGTGGCATTTACTATAGACAGGTAGTCTTTATATACTGGT